ATGGGTTGGATGTATAAATATTGAGAGCTAAAAATGGTACGAGAAACCGCACAATGCTGGGTACGAATCTTTCATTAAAAATCCTACATAGATAATTACCCTCCCTACTTCTGTCTCCTTTTAATGTTGCAAAGTCTCTCCATGGAGACATTTTTCTGAATCAGGGAATTTATTTGAATTTTGTTTTTGAGGTTGTTTTTTCCTTGTTTTGGTTTTTTTCTTTTAATAAGAAAAGGATAAATTCCGGAGAGGAAATTTTTTTTATTACTGCTTAAGCTTCTCAAAGGATATTACAAAGAAAGAAAAGTGAAGTGGATCAAACTTACGGCAAGTGTGTGACAATTGCATTTTTATAAAAAAGGAGAAATAAGACATCTGAGTTGCTAAGGGCTTGTGGGGAAAATAGCTTATGTCTTGAAGGGCTTAGGTCATTGTCTTGCTGAAAGTATATAAGGTCAGTTGTGTGCATTTGAAGGCCCAAGTGCAGCGAATAGTTAATATACTAGTTACTGTTCATCCTGCTTCTGGCAGACCCTGGGGATAGAGGTAGTTGTCTGTATTTGTTCACTTTGATTTTCAGCTCGTACACGCCAGATTGAAAGTCTTCCATAAAAGGTGGGAAAAGTGGTGGAGGGGAAACAATAACCCAAAACTTTCTTTCAAAAGGCCTGGAATCACTGAGAATGCAGTATGGGTTAGTAGATATGCTTGTTTTGGCTGGGGTAGAGTTAACTTTCTTCACAATGGCTGGTATGGGGCTGTGTTTTGGATTTGTGCTAAACACAGGGCTGATAATGCAGAGATGTTCTTGTTATTGCTGAGCAGGGCTTACACAGAGACCAGGCCTCTTCTGCTTTCTGTGCTGCCACACTGGCAAGGAAGTTGGAGATGCATGGGAGGCTGGGAGAAAACACAGCCAGGACAGGTGACCTGAACTGACCAGCAGAATATTCCAGACCATATGACATCATACGCAGTATATAAACCTGGGGGGAAGAAGGAGAAAGGAGGGGATGTTTGGAGTGATGGCATTTGTCTTCCCAAGTCACTGTCACACGTGATGGTGCCCTGCTCTCCTGGAGATGGCTGAACATCTGCCCAAACATGGGAAACAGTGAATTAATTCCTTGGGTTAGCTTTGCTTGTGTGCATGGCTTTTGCTTTCCCTATTAAACTGTCTTTATCTCTACTTATGAGTTTTCCAGCTTTTACCCATCTAATTCTCCCTCTGATCCCGCTGGTGGAGGAATGAGGCTGTGTGGGGCTTGGTGGCTGGCTGGGGCTAAACCACGATAGATCTCGACTTTTTTCCTTCATGGTTAAAAAATTATATTTACTGTGTTTGGAAAAAAGTGTCCCAACTGGTTTTGGCCAGGTAATGATGACTTCCCAGCAGAGCTGGACTTGGTAGGAATACGTTAATTTTAAAAAGAGCTTCAAGAGAGAGAAAGAGCATCTTTGAAAAGAAATGGAACTGACCAACTGGGAAAACGTCAGCAGTGCTTTTCCTTTGTGCAGGAACCAATTACCACTGCAGCTGCTCGCCTGCCTTGTGACCATTTGCAAAATACTGTTCCATGATTGGGGGAAGCTTGCCAGTAGTTGAAGCTGAATGCTGTAAAAGAAAGCATGTTTATTTTAGTCTGTGTGAACTAGAAGGAGGAACTACTTAGAACTGTGTAAAAATTACTTGTTTCATGTCTATAACTTGGCAGCACAATGACTTGTGAATGTGGAATGTGAAACTGATCTGAGGATGAACTGGGGACTTCATTGCTGCAGGCTGAGAATTAGTGTTTGAATAAACCTTGCTACCTACTTCATGGATGAGTATTTGGTCCTTGCTTCAGAGAAATTCTAGTTGCCTCAGTGGGCTCAGGGCTATAGACAGTTTATAATTTTGTTTGTTTTTTTCCATTGTCAGATGCCTGTTGTCATGTTTTCGATGAAGAGCATATTTAGCTCAAGTTGCACTGCTTTGTATTGTTTTTAAAATAAACTCTAAGGTAATGGAAAGAACCCAGACTGCTGCAAATTAGAGAAGTTCTACTTCCCAGCCCCTGCCCCACCAAAGAAAGTTTAGTGTTCATCTCAACAGGACAATGCTTTCTCTGCTGTTATCTATTCCTTATATCTGTGTTTGACTGAAAATACTGCTTTTGGAAAAGCAGCATTTGGTTTCATTACTTCTTTCCTTGATTGTCTTTGAGTGCAAATAGTGCTGCCAACTGTGAGGCGGTCAGACACTGGGATGGGTTGCCCGGAGAAGTTTTGGATGCCCCATCCCTGGAAGTGCTCAAGGCCAGGTTGGATGAGACTGTTAGCAACCTAGTCTAATGGCAAGTGTCCCTTCCTATGGCAGGAACTATATGGAACTATGTGATCTTTAAGGTTCCTTCCAACCCAAGCCATTCTATGATTCTTTCTGTGACTGTGGATTTTGTCACAGTACTGTCTCTCCTCAAATAGCGGATTTGAAACTGCAACATGTTCCACACAGCTGCAGTAGTATTACCAGCAACAGCTGTCATGTTCTATGCTCACATTCAGCCTTTGGTGCAAAAACTATGGGTCCCTGTTGCCAGTTTCTCTCCCATGCCTCTACCTGGACTCTGTAGACCTGATTTATGTGTCTGCGAGTGTAATGCAATCACTCTGGGACTTTTTTTAACCAGTAGCTCTGGAATAGCAGAAGTCAGGTTAGAAAGTTAAAGGCAGTACATCTGATTAGTGTAAAGTAAAACATGTGCTCCAGATGTCCAACAGGTAATTTTGAGAACGGAATTTAAATTGGTATTATTATTTTGATTGTTACTAGTAGGATCTGCAGATTTATGAACTGCTCAGTGCTACAAAATGGAGATTGATGTGCCCTAAACTGTAATCCACTCATCCATCATAAAGCTTCTGCTACAAACCTATTTAATTACCAAACAGAAAAATTCATTATCTATCTCCAGAGAAATTGATTTTTCTTAATAATAAAGCATTAGTGTGTGCAATGAGCTATCAGAGAGCATTCTATGGGAAGCAAGCGAGGAAGCAGCTGTCTCTAGCATGCAGCTGTGGAACTAAAGAATAAAGAATTTCCATGGGCAATACAGAAGTACAAGGAATTATCTTTGTGGCCCAAGAGAGTTAACAAATACGAGTTCAGTTCATTGCCTTGTCAGAGTTTTGCTGTGGAGAAACATTGGTGTCCCAGGAAGTCGGTTTCAATGGGACACAAGTGACCTGTGTAGTCACCGCCTGGGTGCTATACCTTGTCCTCAGAGTGCTGAGCTCTCTGTAGGCAGTGTTAGCTCCTCCTTTAATTCAGACCTTCTGGTTAAAATGGCCTGACACCAAATAAATCTGACTCTTCCAAAAGCACATATGGACTCTAATGTATGTTTCCATGTGAATTCTGGCAGTGCAGCCAGTTCAGGGTGTGCCCTTAAAGCAAAGTCACAGAAACGGCTTTCTGGAACAGATTGCTAATAACTCCTCAAAGCCTTCTGTCCTTTGTCGACCAGCACAAAACTGTGAATGGTGTTTCAGATGACAGGACAAAAGCTTTCTATGTCCCTGTCAGACAAACAGATCCCAAAATTGAAGTTTCTGATTATATTCTTTAAAATATCTATTTTATGTGAATGAGGTATAGGAGATAATTCCTTTAGGAAGGCTGACAGGCAGTTGGCTGCTATATATACTGTACTTTCCAGTATAAAAATAAACTGCAGATGTTTGACACAGATCTGTCAGGATACTTAACTTTGGGTTGGGGTTTGCAGATGTCATGTGCGTTGTGGAAGCTAAATCTTTGCCTTAAGGGGAAAGAGGGAAGAGGTACATGGCAGCAAACACTGAGAAGCATGTCCTGTGTGTGTCTAATGCATTCTGACCTGTGGACACTCTCCTTTTTGATATTTAAAAAACCCAACTGCTGTCATTAGTAGTTGAACTGTGTCACTTATGCAGTTTTGAGGACAGTCCTTTATTACTGGTAGGCAAAGAAGTTCAGCTGCCAGGTGATTTTCTACATCTTGTAAAAATGTCCCGATAAGAGGGGAGTTTTGTATAGAACTACACTGTTTTAACTGCACAGAGCATTGTTTGTTTCATCAAAGCAGCACCCAGGAAGTGGAGGTAAGTTTGGACATGCAAAATCAAGTTCTCAGTTGGGCTTACCAAAGAGAATTTTTGTTGACAGATTGGTCCAAATGTTTTGCCTCTGTAAATTGTTTTAAATCCTCTTTAAAAGACCTGAGGCAAGGATTTATGTTGGTGGTGTTTCGTTTGTCTTCAAAGCAACAGAGTAAGGCTGCCAGCTGTGAACTTCGAAAGCCTTGAGAAATGGATGAGGTTGGATAATTTACTAAACACAGTGCCTACAGCTGTGCTCATTGAATGCACTTAATGGCAGACATGACAGACCGATTTGTTAATTTTCATAGAGTAGTAACTGATTACATTTTCTCTTGGCTGTGATTCAGCTAAAGTTGCATTGTCCTGTGCATTATTTCCTTTCTCAGCTACTAAGTCATTACTTTGGAAGCAACTCTCCTGTTTGTTTGGGGTTTTTTTGGTTGGGGGAGTGGGTTGGGATTTTTTTGGTTGAGTTGTTTCTGTGTTTTTTTGGTAGAGGGAGAGGGACTGTGTTTTGGTTTTTGGTTGTTTGGGGTTTTTTTCTTTTTTCAGGGCATGTGTATGTTGGGAAGAAATGAAGCAATGCTAATTTTTGCTTACTAGTACTAATACAGAAGTTTGCTGCAATTTTAGGATTCAATTCCAGGGTCTTCTTCCTTTCTTCCCACTTCTTCCAGCCTGCCTTTATTATGATATTTAGTAGGAATGTGTCTTTATGCAAAACGAGCGCAGCTGCACCCTAGAATGTGTGAATTTTGGCCTTTTAAGACCCAGCAAAAATATGAATATGTCATATTTTTAAAATCTAAACTGAAGCATGATTGGCTGATAGCTCAGTAATTTACATCTCTTATGGTTTGTTTGTCTAGGGAGACAGCAGCAGCTGGAAGCTGAGGACCCGTATGTGGAGGCTGATCAAGACCTTCACAGGAGGACGGAGCGTTCTGTGGAGCCGCCGACGGAAAGGCCTGGGGAGAGGCGAATGGCAGAAATGAAAAAACTGTATGGTGCTGATGCTGCCAAAATCCAGGCAATGGAGGCTGCCATGCAGCTTATCTTTGATAGGAACTGTGACAAAAAGCAGCCCAAATACTGGCCCATTATTCCCCTTAAGCTGTGAGTACCTGGACTGTGCTCTGACATGGCGCACAACTGTGCCTCAGTCAGGTTGTGCTGCTGAAAGAACAAACTGCCAATTTTGGTTTTGGGTGGGCTTTGGGGCAGAATCTGGCAAGGACAGCATGTGTGTCTTTGGCCTTTGTTTCTTTTACACTGTCAGCAATACTCACTGTCTGTTCAACCCACATACAGTTGTCAAGTAGTAATAGGAGGGATGGGAATATCAAACCTGTCTTAAGTCATGTGTTTACTTGTTTGATACCTGCCTGCCTTGACCATGCTTGCAAGAAACAACGATACCTATACTCAGTGAACTGGGAAAACTTAAAATTATGCAAATAAGAAAAAGACCATAGGAATTGTCTGCTCTTACTGTTTAGGAACTTGAGTGATCCCATTTTTTAGTCTTAACATAATAGCATTTGGATCCTGTTTCACATAGCACAGCTTGAAGTGTTATGTCTGCTAATCTTGGATTTTTTTTGAGAACCAGGAGCCCACTGGCCAAGATACAACTTATCAAGTTACTGTAGCCCAGACGTTTGAATTCTTTTTCAAAGGTTTATAATAACGCAGGAAGTTTTTCTTCCAGGCTGATACTTGTCTGACAGAAGTTTGACTCCAAAGCAACATTATATGGAAAAATGTTTTAATGAAGGGGGTGGGAGAGTGGGACAGAAGCCTGATACGGTCCTGTCTGTTAGAGGTCTTTTTAGCAGAAGAGAAACTTAAGAGGACACAACATTATAGGGGACAGTGCATGCAGTGATTTTTGCTATTCTAATAAAAAGCATCTGACAGGTTTGAAGCTTTACAGAAGGCTTATTATTTTGATAGACTGCATCTGAACAATGTATATGGAGGTATGAAAGACAGGTAGCCCTGCAGGCTATGTCTGTTTTACGTGCAGCTTTCCAAGGCCCGCCTGCACACGACATGCACAAGACTTAAACACAAGCAGGTAGATGTGCCTCTGTGTGTACTCATCCATCTGCACAGGCTGTTTGGTTCCATTTCTGTCGCTCTCTACTTTTGGTCAGTTGTGTTTGCTCCACTAGTAGCTAACAAGGTGGAGTGAGGCACACAAGTGGTCTGTGTAAGAGAGGCAGAACTGGCCCCTCAAAAACAATGACTCCTTAAAAAATGGTACCGTGAATACTTCCAAGGACTCTCGGTGAAGCACTGCTGCTACATCTCGTTGTGTGCTGAGGGGCTGTAGTTTGTCTCACAGCGTTTCCATGCCAGGGCCAAAGAACCTTCTGCTCATTTAATAGTGGCATATTCATCTGTCTTTCTGGCAGCAGAGGAAGGTCACAACTAAAATTCTGGCTTCAGTTTATTCCCAGTGTATCCAGAGTATCTCTGAGGCACGTGTAGTTCGTAATGCACACCAGCAGTTACTGTGCCCTCTGCAGCAGCCAGCTGCAACAAAGCAAGTCTGCAATGCAGTTTGAAATATCTTTGCTTTTACTAGTAGTTACTATGTATTTTCCAAGCAGCATTTCCATGTCAGTTGTACCTCTTTCACTTTGGTTGTGACAAGATGAAGTTAAATTGAACACTGATGTTAAAAAGCCCCCAGTCTCCAGGACTTATTACTGGTGTGATTAGTCTGAAAAACTTCAGTGAGACAGGAAAGGGAAAAGGGTTATTAACAGTCGTGAATTTGTCTTCACTCTTGTTTTTGGTGGGTTTTGTCAAAAATTTGGTGTTTTGTTTGGGTTTCCTTTCATTGACCAAATAAATTTTCTTCATAACACTTTGTAATTTACTTTTGTTTTGTATAAACAAACTTCCATACTTAGGACACTTCAATTCTCATATACTAAAGCTTTCTTTTAGCTGCTGCATTGTTTAAGGAAGATTGAACTTAGAGCAAGAACAGTTTTAGCATATGGAGAAACGCAAGGAGTGTTGACAGGAGTTTTCACAGGAGTGCCAGTCAGTACCACAAATGTATGGTATTGTACAAAATGAATGGGAAGGTTGCTGCGTCCGCTGGGGGAAAACCCTGTCCCAGATTAACATACATAAATCTCTCTGTTCCTATTTGAAGTGTTTCCAGTGTGGTGATGGTATTTTCTCTGTGCAGTTCAGTTCAGAAAATAAAGGAAGAATGGGTAGGACTGTTCTTGCTTTTCAACACAAGTTCTAGTTCTCACTGTGGTTTATTTTGCACCTAGGTGGTTCTTCTAGCAGAAGCAGAAATTCTGGTCTCCAAAAGTATTTGTAGAGACCTCATACAAGACAACATTGAATTCCTTTCCTACTTCATATAAAATATAAAAGAAATTTCCTTGCCTTTGGTTCTTTTACCTATTTCTAAGAGGGTTTAATATACTTCATGAGGTTAAAAGTAGAGAGAACTGGATGAAGTGTTCCCTAGGAACTATGTACTAAGGCCTGAAATGGAGGAACACACTACTGCAGACTTAAGAGTTGCTGCCAAATGATGTCATTTCAGGGGATGGGCTGTTGCTGGTATTTGGCCAGATGTCCCATTTTGCTGATAATTCAGCAAAATTTGGAAATTCTTTGTTGCAGTTCTTTTACTCTGTTTCCCATGTCATTTTAAATTTTTAAGAAATGTCTCACATAAAAAGGTGTGATCATGGAAGAAATGCAATGGCAACTCAAAAACACCAGTTCAGTCATCTGTAACACTCACCTTTCATGCCCATATGTATTGTGCTGCAGTCCTCAATCATGGGAACATGTGCACTTTTTTCCCCCAAAGACACAATGTTATGCCACCCACTTACTTGACTAGAATGCAACTGTGATGCTGCAGACGTGATTCTTTCTTGTCCACAGCATTGCACCTTTGCTTTCAGTTGTGCCAACTGCTCGTATAGTCCTGCCTGAAGGGAATTCTTCGCTTGCTGGTGGTGCTGTTTCTCATGAGCTTTTCCCAGCTCCAGCAGAAGGAATTACAGCCTGAAGTCACTACTTGTCATACGGTTAGTCTTAATTTCAGAGACTGGTTTCCTCATTTGTTACGTGCAAATCAACCTTAATTTTGGGAGAAGAGTTTGTGATTGGCTGAAGACACTTCAAAGATTGGAGAAAAATGTTATAGGTCTTCTCAACTGAAAGCATTCTTAAAAGAAATAAAAAAACAACTTTCAGAACTGGCACAGTATAAATGTAACATACAAATGAAGCAATGACTTTTGTGTTTCCTACCAAAAGAAAAACTGCTTACTTTTATGCATTGGTGACATTGTCAAGTGCTCTTGTTCTTCTAGAATTATTTCCCCATAAAGCAGCTGACAGCTCAGTATGCCTGTGTGTACAGGCAGCCTGAAAAGAGATTCAACCATTTTGCTGAGAGTAACTTTTCTCAATCAACATAATGGGTAAGTATTCACATCTTTTGACAGTGGTCTTGTTAATGACTCGTACTTGGAAGAAGCTTTAATAAGAAACAACCTAAATTTCCGTAACAGCCTTTGTGAAGGATAAACACTTACATAATCCACATGGATTTGTTCCCCCATGTCTTTTTCCCTTTGTAAAAGCTCCTTGCTCACTCATTACATGAAATACATTGCAAATATTTGTATCTTCATCTCTTGTTACATTAATAACAATCCAACTCTGAATAGAAACTGAGAAAAGCAGGACACTGATTCAGCTGCTTAAATTTCGAGTTTCAAGTGTGATTTTTGGCATAATGGTCTGAACACTTTGGCTGAAAGAACTACAGAAGGGCCAAGATTATTGCCCAAAATGTGAAATACAGTCTGTCAAAAGGAAACATCCACAACTCTGTTTTCCTTGTGGTTTCTTTAAAGTTTAAGCTCCTGGGAAATACGCTATTTGATAAATAATACATTCAGGCTGTGACAAAATTCTGTTTTCATGTTTGTGTGCTAATTAATCAACTGTCTACCCTGTCTAACCTCTTGTCTCCTGTGCTCCTATCTGGATAGTCCAAAGGAAAGAAACTCATATGGGCTCTTCCCTAGGTAGAATAGCAGCCTGTGAGGGAGTCTCAGCTGCTCCTGAAGGGTGGTTGTAGCCAGAGTATGTTCAAGGCTTCACATCTCTTCATATATTCTCACAGCTGGAGTTGCTGAGCTGGTACATAGACTTGAATAGACGGTGTCATTGCCATCTGGGCATTGTCTTGGTGACCTGGCTATTCATTCATTCATGGCCAGGCTTCACGAATGAAGATTTGGGAAGGGCTCTACCCACGTTTGTTACAAGCGCGTTGGTGGCTAAAAAGGCCAATACGAGATAGACACATCTGGTTGCAAAAGACACAGCAGAAAGACTCCTTAGATGGTATATTCTGCAAGGCACTATTCTTTCTGCATTGTCTTTTTTCCTCAAGAGTGATCCTGCGTGTGTTCTCAAAAGCATCAGCAGTGTTATAGATGCTGTGTCTCCAGACCTCCCGATTGGAGGCCAGAGTAGACCAGTTATGGTGATCAATATGGCCAAGGCTGAGATGTTGTTTCAGGGAGTCCTTGTATGACCTGGCTATAGTAGCAGAAGAATTGCTTGGGCTCAGTCCGTTCTTTGGAGCACACAGACATCAGCCTCAACTTAATTTCAACAGGGCAGGAGTGGCACAAAAGTCTTGCTTGGCCAAAAGTGGAGAAAGCTTGCTCATCTTGAGCTTGCAGAGTGTAAATGAGATTCTCCGAGCATAGATCTGTTACACAGTCACAGAAGGGTTTTTTTCCCCCTTTAATCATGAATCTTCATCTTTTAAGAAAGCAAACAAGCAGAGTAAAACATACATGGTTTTTGAAAAGAAAATACTTTTCAGTCTAATGATGCCAATATCACTGGTTCCCTAAACTAAATTGAGATCTTTTGCCTGCAAAGCCTTTTGAAAAGCCAGAATGTACATAACTGCTATCCTCATGACTTTACAGCCGTCCCAAAGACATACCTTTGTGGGGAGGAAGGGATGAGAAAAATGGAAATGATGGATAGGGATTTTTTCAAATAGAGTTAGAAGTGGTCCTCCTTGACTTCTAGACTTTGTTTTAATAAAAGCAACAGTTTCTCAACTTAATGAAGATGTGAGGCAAAAGTCTATGAGGGGCTGTTAAAAATGAAGTTACATCACTGTCTTGGGATGTCCCTAAGCTGCACCTTACTGGAAGTTAGGAAGGAGTGACAAAATACTGCTTTATTCATGGAGTTTTCATATATTGTCCTCTAGACAGCTGCCAATGGGTCATGCCATAGGAAAATAACTAGATTTCTGATCTGTTTAGAGCTATTTAGAATCTTTCCATGTGCTTATACTGAAGATCAAGATTGAAATACCAGGCTTGAGTTCCAGCTTTTGGCCATTTCATGCATCCTTTATTTCTAGATACAGAAATTGCTCCTATGACTCAACTCCACCAAAGTTTACTGTCATTGAGGTCCGGAGGATTCAGGTCGGAAGAGACCTAGAGCTGCGCTGTTTAATGTAACCCAGTTTATTTGTTACTTGGACCAAGATTCAGTCAGCCCTTTTGGTCTAAACTTGTACAAGCATCCAGCAATAAAAAGTCTGTGCCTTGAATTTAATTAGTTCTGATTCTCACATAGCTGTCTTAGTCCCATCCTTTGCACTGGACAGGAAAAGATCCGAGTCATCGTGTCTAGTTTCTGCTACCTCCGGCAACCACATCATCTAATACATTGCAG